TCTTTTTGAAACAGCCTGTACATCGGGAACACGGGGTGGTTAAGGGAACCCCGAAAAACAAAGTGACGTTTCGGCTGTGTTCCTCGCTCGCTTTGTCTGTCAACAATAATATCTATATCTATAAAATAAACTCATTGTGAATGATCAATAATGCAAGGTGTCCGTGGGCTAAAGCAGAAGGCGTTTCGTGGTTGTTGGTTTTGTTGAAACAAATCCCCTTCCGTTGACGCGCACACGACGCCGGCAGCACGAGCGGCACACTCGGCAGCTCGATGCCAACGGTGTCGAGGTCTGCTGCTGTGGGCCAAGACAACAGCTGGATATAAGCACACCTGTTATAAGCACGCAAAACGTCTCTCTCCTCCGAGATGCGGCAAGGGCCTTCGATCGGACTAAACGCCGCCCGTAATTATCATCAACAGCTTTTTCCATTCCTTCGAGCGACGACGTCGGCGAAGAGAAGAAAGAAGCGTGCCGTCGTTGATTAAAAGATGCACCGTCCTGATACGCCACGCGTCGTTGTACGGCACCGGCGAGCGAGTGAGTGGGGGGCGGCTGGGAGGAAGAGGCAGAGGGGAGCTCGCGACACTTCCCCTCGCTCCGCGGGGTTCTACTTAACGCCAGCGGCGAGGGGTGCGCATGTATCCAGCTGCTTCTGGGTCGCCCGACAACCCCCCACCCGACCTCCTGAACGAGCCTGCTAATTCGTGGAGACACCGGACCACTGTCACACGGGGAGAGACACAATTCCGCGTTCTTTGCGAGACGTTTTCTACGTACGTGCGGCGAAACGTTTTTTTTACCGTTTGTGTTTTTGTTGTTTGTTTGTTACCGGATATTTTCATGCAGTTACCGGTAATGCCCGAGTCCCCACGAGGGATCCACTCTTTCTCGCATTCTCAACGCAATCGCGCAGACGCCTGGACGCGCCGACTCGCATCTCCCTCCACCGCGTAGCCTCGTTTCACGTTACCGCGTAGCCTCGTACCCCACCCGCATACATGCGCCCCCGCCTTTGCTCACGTACCCACGTGGCCCACCGTACACCGCCGTGGACAGCACTGATATGTGCGGCGACGCCGCTGCTATACAAGGGAGAGATCACACACCACCGTGGCCACAACAAACAAAAAATTGTACATCCGTGTGGTCAAGAGCACCGCGAGAGAGAGCTATATATATGAACAAATAAAAACAAAAAACCTCAAATCACAAAACATTTGACGACGACGACGACGAAAACGCACACGACGCGGGGCCGTCATGGAATGTCTGCCCCCGTTCCAGAGATGCCCTAACTAAACCGGCGGGACAAGTGTGTGTGTGTATATACTTGATGTGGTGTGCCGGGTGTGGAAATAACTTCCGGTTCGACGGTGGAATCGAGTAGGCGGTATACGTAAACGAGCAGCCGCAGCTATAACAAGCGGAATACTGGATGCGCTGCGCCGGATCGAGAAATAATTTCGGCGCCGTCGGCAAACTGGAATGGGTGGCACGCTGCTCGTGGCCACGGCCACAGCGAGCGGTTTATACTGGATGTGGTGTGCCGGGCGTGAACTATTTTCCAGGCCACTAGTAGAATGAAATAGGTGACGCGCGCGATAAGCAGCTACAGACGTCGAAGAGGTATACTGGATGTGGTGTGCCGGGTAGCCACGGCCATTTAAACGCACCGAGATGTGAGCATGGAGCATGCCGATAAATAACCCGGGCATTGCCCCCTCTTGCCAGCATGCAAAGCACATTGTAGTCAATAGCCTCATGATCAGCTGTGCAACGTGAAAAACACCCACACGTACATAACTTACCATGTACACATATATATACACGTATATATATATATATTTACGCGTATATATGAATGTAGAAATAAATGAACAATGAATACAAAAAAATTGGGCTAACCAATTTTCTGACCGACAAACCACCGTGATATTTGCGGGGAGAACCGGCAAAATAACCGGCTGGAAGCGGAACAATGGGCGGGATCAACGTCGCACCGCGTCGCACCGCGCTCGCGGATCTCACCGCGCTCGCGGATCTCACCGCGCTCGCGGATCTCACCGCGCTCGCGGATCTCACCGCACGCAGCGCGGGCCCCCCGGCGATGGGGGAGGGGGGCAACACCAAGATGGGTCACAGCGAGTAACGCGGGCACCGATGGACGTAGCGCCACCCACACCGCCTCCATGCGTGGCGACCGACACCGTGAAATGCCACCCGACGCTTCACTACGACGACGACGCCAACGTGGTTCCGCCGACCGTCACCACGACAGATGGGGGGGGCCAGGGGGGGGGCACGAGTGGCACGACGTGCGGTGACGCGGGGGCCAGGGTTCTCCGGCAACGACGTCATTACGCAAAAATTCCAATCCCCACCCCACCAGCCCACCCCTGACCACCACCCAGCCTGCCCACAATCCCCCCTGCCCACCCCTCCTCTGCCCACTACCCGCCACTCCTACCCACAATGCACCAACGGCAGTTAAAACGACCAAATATCACGGCACGTTGATGACCGTGACGCGGCGCCGCGAACGCAGTGCAGCGAGATCCCACCGTTGGCACTGTGTTACGGCGCACCACGTGCACGCTCCCCGCCTTCACCAGGGGCGGTGTGGGGGGGGGGGTAGGACGTCACCCGGGGGCGGATCGGACTAAGCGGCTGTGGAAAAGGAAGCGCCAGCCGCACGGCCGCTCGTCGATGGGGGAGAGCGGGCGGCGGGGGAGCTGGTGGCGTTGATGGCGTGGTGGGTTAAGATTTAAAGTCTCAACCACCGCATTGCATGCAGTTGCCCCTCCGAACAGGAGTTCCTTGCTACAGCGCCGAGGGAGCCCAGGTTAAGATCCCGCGCGTCTCGTACGGTACGGGAACCCGCGTCTTGTTTCCAGGAGAGAGTGGGCGAATCATTTACATCAGTGTCGGATGATCAGCATCACACGCGACATGCGGTGTGTGAGTGTTTGTTTTTAAACAGTATATAAAATAGCAGTTTTTTTCACATTTAAATAGCTTTTGTTCGTTTTTACTACGGAAGGAATAATAAATACAAGGCCGCACATAAATTAATGAAAACGTCGTGAAATTTGCCGCCTGCCGATGTATAAAACGTTGCAAATAAACTCACCGATCAACTTTGGAATTTCAAAACAGTTCTGGATTACTTTGTAATCTTATTGCAAAGCTAACGACTCCGGCATTACATCGCTGCCTTTCTCGCTGCCACTAGAAGTTTCATTTTTGGGATTTCCAATCAATCGTACGACTTGGTTTGACGTTATCTCACGAAATAAAAATGTCTATGCGATCGCTCGCCAGGGATTTTTGATCATAAGGTCTGAAAATTGACGAGGCGGCACTTTGGCACGGCTCATCTTCACAGTTCAGTCACACCGATGTTTTAAGACGACATAATCCATCGACAATTATTCAATTCACTCGGCGACCAAACGCCTGGGCTTGGTGAGAGGGGGGGGGGGGGGGTAATCAGGCGATATGGATCGTTTCACACTTAAATTGTAATTGGCACAATTTTCTATTTAAATTTTTTTTCGCAAAGGACCGCACATTACCCCATATTGTGAACAAAAATAATGAGTTTTTACCCTTTCTGGCAATAAAACAGGAGGTGTTAACATGTTCAAACACCAAATAACCGCAGCACTAGTGGTGAACATGCAAACAAACATGCTCTGTTCAGTGGGAGTGGGCTAACCAGTTTCACAGACAATGGCATGTATAATTATCTGACCGTGTTGTGTTTGCATGTTCAACACAAGTACTGTGTGGCTAATGCAGTAACATGATTCCTTGCAAAACGGTATCTGTGTGCAAGAGCACGAAAGGGTGGTCAACACATCTACGCCTCTATGTAAGGAACGAAACAGTAAGACTTCTCCACAAATCTGGCTGTCGCCTGATGAAGCTAGTTGTAATTACTGGCGAAACGTCGTACTCAGATGGTAAATGTTGTGGCTTGCCTCTCCAACACACACTAGTGCTGTACTAGTGACGAATTGGCCACGTTCTGTTTACGTGACAACCCTTACTAGTTGGCCGTGTCGGGTGGTGGCGGGTTTTAACGACACATTTATATATTTACGCGATCTAACCCAAAAAAACTGTATTATGGAAATTTTGGTTGTTATTTGTAATGCAAACATTGACAGTGTTCAAGCGCAGACCAGAAGAGGCTGGTCTAGGGTCAATGGCAGTACAAAGACAAACCGCCATTATATATTTACGTGATCTAACCCAAAAACCTCTAATATGGATGATATTGGTCGCGAAAGCCTACGTGTTAAACCAACAAATACTGATACGTTGTTTTTTTAAACGACGCGTTAACTCTACGAGCCGCGTCATCGTCCCTTTGCGAATGAGCCGCGGGGATGTCGGCGGTGGAGGGGGGTTGCTCGGGGAGAAGTTTCGATTGCCGTGGGTTTCAGTTGGTTTTTTGCCTTTTGAGAGTTCAAACAAAACGGTCTTCGTATTCACATCGTCGTCCGTAACAATATACACAAGTGCTAAACCGAACGCACCTCCACAGCAACAACAATAATTATTGTTCTTCAGAGTTTGGTCTTTTAAAAACTAGTATTCGACATAAAACAGTTACCCAGAATTCCGCACGGGCTACACAAATCCAAAAAGTGTCTTCTGCAACGACATTCCCAAACCGAATAAAAAAAAATAAACCCGGAGACAGGAGAACGGGGAGCGCGCAAAGCGACGCGCGCAGCTTTGCTAGCGGGCACGCAGCCCGGGCGAGCGTGGCGACGCTGGCAAGTGTGGCGCCAACGCGGACGAGTGGCGAGCGAGCGCGCGCAGACACTGGGTCATTCACGCGCGCCACGCTCGCGCTCGTCAAGGAGGATGCCGTGATCGCAGCCGCTGCTGCTTGTCGAGATGGGCAGCAGCAGAGACCTCTCACCCACACCCCCCCCCGCGCCCCGCCCACCCCCTACCTCTGCCCGCCCACCCCCCCCGCCAGCGTAAATATAAACCCGGCGATACGAACCGCGGCCGCACACAAGCCGACGCACTGCCGCCGAGACACAGCGGAGCTCGCCCAGACCCTGAACCACGCCGCGCTAGACTCAACGACAGCAACAAAAAAGATTGGAGCGGAGTTAGTAAACAAAGTTAAAATAAAACCACATTTTCCCCCCCCCCCCCCCCCCGGTACGAAAGGGAATAAACGTTACCTCCGTTACCTCCGATCGCGGCTGCAGCAATGCCCCTTGCGTGTTGTTTTTACGTTTTGTTTTTTTAAGTTCGAGTTTGGAGAGCGATGAGTGGAGCGCGACCGCACGCTTCTCTCTGGTGGTCGTCTCACCGCCACCGCCGCCACCGCCACCGTCACCGCCGCCGTCACCACCCGGCGACGAGCGGGCGCGGCCGAGGCGCCCTCGGGCCTCTTAGCAGATCTTGGTGATGGTGACGCTGCCCTTGATCTTGAGCGTGTTGATGAGCGACACCGACTGCACGCGGTGGCAGAAGTCGAAGATGAGGTGTCCGTCGATGCTCACCTTGAAGCGCTGGTGCTCGCACGCGATCTCCAGCTGGCGGGGGACAGGGGGGGCGGCGGGGCACGGCGGGTCACAGTCGGCGCGTTCTCATTGTTGTTTGTAACGTTATTTTAGTCTTCGCCTTTTGGCGTCATCTGGTCGAACACCATATGAGACTAGGCTCTAAAGAAAGCTGTCTCTGGTGTGGACCAATCAGTTTCAAAGACAATGCATAAATTATCAGAGTATTGTTTTTTGTTTGCATTTGACTGCAAGTATTGTGGTTAATGTAAACATGATTCCTTGCAAAAGGTGTCAGTTTTGTTGCCGGAAAAAAGGGGAAAACCCTATTAGTTATTTTAGTTGTTTGTAACGTTATTTTGGTTGTTGTTGTTGTTTGTATAGTAGAACCTCTGGTCACGAACGCTTCTGACCACGACCAAATCGGGTTCCGACTAAAAATTTCACTAAATTTTTTAATCTGGTCACGAACACAAACTCGGGTGGCGATAAAACACGGCCGCGTCCGATTTCCCCTTCCGCGCCATTTTTTTTTGTAAGCGCCAAATACAATCGCCTAGGAAGATATTAATTTTGTGAGTGTAGTCATACCCCCCCCCCCCCTCATTCAAGCCGTAATTTAGAGAGCGAAAGCGCTGAGTACGTAAATCGCCAACATAAGAACCCGTTAATCTTTTCTCGCATCATTCATACGATGATGATGCGGTGAAGTAAACGTTCACACGATATTACGGCGAATGCTTCCAAAAACAATACTGTACCCAAATATTACTGTTAATTTACTTTCAATAGAAACATGAATTGCTCGTACGAATATTCTCTCTCTCAGAATCGACCGACTGATGTAGCAGACGAAACAATCATCTTGTTGAACGATTCTAAACCTTGACACGGCAATGTTAGTTTTCTCTGTTGTTCAAGTGTTATTCAATGTTTTTAAATTAAATTTACTATTACACTGTGAATTTACACTGTGAATTCTATGGCATAATTAAAAAAAAAAAAAAAGCAATATTTATATACAATTCGTAGGAGTCTGGAATGGATTAATCGTATTTACATACCATCCAATGGGGAAATTAGGTTTGAGTCACGACCAAATTGGGTTGCGACCAAAGTTATGGAACGAATTATGGTCATGACCAGAGGTTCTACTGTAACGTTATTTTAGTTTAACACGAAGGCTTTCTCAACCGAAAGCCTACGTGTTAAACGTAGGCTGGTTTTAACGACACATTAATATATGAACGCGATCTAACCCGAAAAACCTCTATTATGTCTTCTTGGTTCTTTCGGTAAAGTCACGTAGAATGGAAATAATAAAATAATAAAAATAAAACATTATAAAATAAATCTCCTCCCTCCCAGCTTAAATAGACGCTCCAAGCCTAGGATGTGTCATTCAGACTCTGTCTTCTCGACAGACCTGTTCTTCACCTGAGGACGGCTGCTTGCGTTGTGGCCGAAACGTCGTGAGAATTATTTTATGTTGTATTTTTATTATTTTATTATTTCCATTCTACGTGACTTTACCGAAAGAACCAAGAAGATGAATCCCTGCAGTCACGAAAGCTTTAAATCGAAATTCAACCTCTATTATGGTTATTTTGGTTGTTATTTGTAACGCAAACATTGACAGCGTTCAAGCGCAGACCAGAAGAGGCTGGTCCAGGGTCAATGGCAGTACAAAGACAAACTCCTGTATAGCCTTGAACGGACTGGTGGGGCAAGTGCTGTTAGCGAGCAGCACCTACGAAGGCCGGTACGGCACACGAGGGAGTGGGTGACCAGCACCACGCCCGGCCGCCTTTGTCTCCCCAGTGTCGGCAACGTTTACACACCGCACCAGGTCCTTATTTGAGGCTGAGTCGACCTAGGGGAGGCCCAGGACCGGTTCAGATATATAATCATCACTGGTGTTGGCCGTGAGTGGTGAATCGAACCCGGGTCGCCGGGCTAGGAGCACCACTCCACTACCAGCTCGGGACAAAGATCCCCCGTATAGCCATAACAAACTGTAGGGGCAAGTGCTGTTAGCGAGCACCTATAAAGGCCGGCACGGCACACGAGGGGGTGGGTGGCCAACACCATGCCCGGCTGCCTTTGTCTCCCAAGCGGCGATGTTTACACATCGCACCAGGTACTCATTTGAGGCCGAGTCGACCTAGGGGAGGCCCAGGACCGGTTCAGAAAATTGTCACTGGGTGTTGACCGTGAGCGGGAATCGAACCCGGGTCGCCGGGGTTCGTAGCGCAGTGCGCTAACCGCTACACCACCGCTCTCCACAGCTTGGGACGGACACACATACACACACCACACGCACACGCGCGACCTCCACCTGACCAGCACCTAACGTCCACCACCAACATCTTCACCACTACCAACAACCGCGGACCGGCACCACCTCGAGCATCACGCAAACTCCATCACGGGCTGCTGCGGCGCCCCGGGTGCCAGCCTCGCCAACGGCGCCGGGTTCGGAGCGACGCGGAGAGGGGGGACTGACCCGGAAGGGCTGGTCGAGCGTGAAAGGGAAGTACGGCAGCGTCGACTCCTCCTTGCCCCAGGAGCCGGAGAGCATGGTGTTCCTGAGGATGGCGCGCGGGCCGAAGAGCGCCGCCATGTTGAACGCCACGTCGGCCGTGGTCCAGTCGCCGCACGTCAGGCTCACCGTGAAGCTGCTCACTCGCACAAACATCCCGCCCAGGGTGGCATCAGCAGACCGCTGGGGCGAGCGCCGTTGGCGGGGGCCGATGGAGGTCGCGACGGATTCACGAGGGAGGGCGTGGGTGGCCCAGCACCGTGCCCGGCCGCCTTTGTCTCCCCTGGTTGGCGATGTTTACACGTCGCACCAGGCGCTCATTTGAAGCCGAGTCGACCTAGGGGACGCCCATGATCGGTTTAGATAATCGTCACAGGTGTTGGTGACCGCGAGCGGGAATCGAACTCGGGTCTCAGGGTTGGTAGCGCAGCGCGCTAACTGCTACACTACCGCTCCCCACATACGCACGCAACAACATCGATTAATCATAACTCATCATCACCAACGCCATGGTCGATCTCTTCTCCCTCAAAACTCCAACAATAATAACATTGCTTAATTCCGTGACACACGTTATTCACTCTCATCCATTACAACTCTCACCCTGCTCTTTCGTTGTTGGCGTTTTGGCAAAGCGTGACTTAAAAAAAACCCAAAATCGAACAGAAAAAAAACCAAACTCCGTAACCCAAACCCCCGCTCGCCCGCCCGGCACCTGTCTGGATTCTTGTCCACGATGCCCATGATGGTGATCTTCATGCCCACGCGCAGGCCGTTCTTTATGTTGCCGGAGAACGGCACGGCCTGCGAGCGGAGACACGCGCGGGGTTACGTCACACGGGGCACCAACGGGGTCACGGCGCCCGGCCAACAAAGAAAAAGATCCCCCTCCCCCCCCCACCGTGTAGCCTTAACAGACTGTTGGGGTGAGTGCTGTGAGCGAGCAGAGCCTACGAAGGCCCGCACGGCGCACGAGGGGGGTGTGGGTGGCCAACACCACGCCCGGCCACCTTTGTCTCTCCGGTGGCGATGGACTCTGACCGGAGAAGAGGCACAGAATAGAAGCTCACGGAGAGAGAACAGATAAGAGCAGCCGACGACCCCATGCGACAGCGGCGGATGGACGGCCCTCTCGGTCAGCAAAGGAAGACGAGTCGGAGCGACATTTTCCACCACGACATGGGAGTGAACATTGGCCGCTCGCTGGCGCGATGATCCGATTAGCGGCACGGGAGAGCGCGCGCAGTCGCCCCGCCGTGTCAACGTGCGGTCGCAGAGTCTGCGGCGCGGGTAAATGGAACGCCGGCAGAGGCTCAATTAAAGTGAGAGCACAACGCTTGCCCGCCCGTTCGCCTGACTGCTCTAATGAGACAATGGCCGGGCACAGCTGGGCCAAATTCGCCAAATTCACTTTACATCTCCCAGAATTCCATGCCTAGAAGCGGGGCTCGGCAAAAACCGCTGCAATTCGCCGTTAATTAGTGCCAGGCAGGCGACGCTCCCGCCGGAGTGGCGGCCGAGGGAGGGAGGGAGTGTGCCCCCCAAAGAGGACGTGGCGGCGACGTTCAACCAGCAGCGGATGGATCACGGCCGATGACGACGACGGCGATGGGAGCGATTAAATCGACCTCGTGCTCAGGAGCCACGCAGGTCGACCCATCGCGACAGGGTTCCTCGAGAGACAGCGACGGCTCGGGGGGGGGGGGGGGGCCTCCATCCAGCACACGGCCGCGTTAACATGACGCTTCCCCCCCTGAGCCAGACGGGCCCCCTTCCCCTCGCCCCCCCCCCCCCCAGAGTTAATTACACACGCGGCCGAGCCCGACCGAGACAAGCAATTAGGGGGACCAAAACCTCGTTCCGATAACGACCCCTTTAAAAGGCCGGCGCACAACGGCTGCGGCTGTGTGGGCACATTACTAAATTGCACGGCTGTGTAAAACAAAAAAAAATGCGTGTGTGTGTGTAAAAAGTGGGGAGCGGTGGCGTTGCGGTTAGCACGCTGCGCTACGAACCTGGCGACCTGGGTTCGATTCCCGCTCGCGGCCAACACCCTGTGACGATTATCTGAACCGTTCTTCCCCTTAGGCCGGATACCCCTAGTCGACTCAGCCTCAAATGAGTACCTGATGCCGCGTGTGAAACATTACCACGAAGGAGAGAAAATGCGGCCGGGCGTGGTGTTGGCCACCCACTCCCTCGTGTGCCGTACCAGCTTTCATAGGTGCTCGCCAACAGCACTTGCCTAAAGTCTGTTGAGGCTACATGGGGAATCTTTGTCTTTATTTTGTAAAAGGTTAAAGGGGCGATCCTGAAAGTTATTTACTTCGCCCGACCACTCAACAGCTGGTGGAAGGGTCTCCTCACTAGAGACGCAGCACTTGAGGGCATGTTGGCCTACTCTTCCACGCTGACCAGACGTCTTCTTGGAAGAGGTGTGCAGGCATCCACAGCTTACCCCCACTGCACACGGACCTGCCCATCGCAGACTCGCCGTGGTGCAGAGGTCGCAAACGGGTTTGGATTCCTTACCCGTACCCGTACCCGGCCACACCAGGGTCACAAACGGGTACCCGTACCCTACCCGATACCCGGCTACCCGTACCCGGCCGGGTATCGGGTACGGGTACCCGATTGCGACCTCTGGGATGAAGCCATGTTGCAGGCGTGGGTGGGTTGATTCTAGAAACTTGAATTGTGAGAAGAGACAAGACGTTGGGAAATGAGTGACAAACGGTGACTCACCAGTGACTCACGGCCTACCCGTACCCGTACCTGGCCGTACCAGGGTCGCAAACGGGTACCCGGCCGGGTACGGGTAGCTGGGTATCGGGTAGGGTACGGGTATCGGGTACCCGGTTGCGACCTCTGCCGTGGTGTCCTTATTTACGGGAGAGGGGCAACGTTAGCAAGCGTGCACCGTCATCTCCACCGCCGGGCCGGGGGGGCGGTAATGGGAATGGAACGGGTGACCTCTGGGTGGCAAAGTCAAGCGTGCTGCTGACCGTTACGCCACCGCTGTGCGCGCGCGATGGAAAAAAAAGTTCCGCTCGAGAAAGTAATTTCTCAATCGGATGAAACCAGACGATGCAGCAGCGGCGGCGGTCTGAACCGAGCGCCTATCATCGCAATGACAAAACGCCCCGCCCTCCCCTCTCGCAAACATTTACGCAAGAGGTGAACAGGCTATATATGTGTGTATATAAATCGCCCTTAGTGAAGGGCATGTGTGTGTGCGCGTGTGACAATGCTGCGTTACAAGCGTGCGGTTTAGGAAAGGCCGCTAATTTGATTTGTAAAGGATTTGGGTTTCGCCGCGGAGAGAAGGGAGCGGGAATGCCGGGGGGTGGGCGCTCGGATGGCCCTGACGCTCGGGGGAGGGGGTGGGGGGGTGGGTGATGGGGGTGGGTGATGGGGGGGGTGGGGGGGTGGGTGATGGGGGGGGTGATGGGGGGGGATCACCCACCTTCGACACGCGGGGTGGTCACGACACGGTCACACATTTACTGTATTTTGCGAGGTGTAAAGTAAATAGCCCAAAACAATAACTGGAACCAAAATGCGTTTGGATGCCTGCCAAACTCAAAGCAGTCTAGTTAAAACAAAACAACAATTCCTAATGTTAAAGACATCAGTTTGTGGATACCGAGTCTGCACGACGGAATGCTCTTCGGTGGCCGCTCCAATCATTTGCGGAATCTCATGCGCAGCGCCATCGGCGTCAGCGGCCACTTTAAGCGAGACGTTTGAAAGCCGCACGGAGCGTACGAGCAGCGGGTCCCAAGCCTGGCTCGGCAGAAGCCTCCCGAGTCGCGACTGGAAATCGTCGCTCGCCGCGTGCCGCGCGTGCTCGATGGCACGGCCACGCGCTCGCGGCGAAGGGATTCCCGACGGCGCCCGACCCGGAATCCGTCCGCCAGCTAACGCCGAGCGCGCCGAGCGCCAACTCTGTTGGCAAGTCACGTGGACGATTGATGGGCCCGGTGCACCCAGCTGCAGAGAGCGGGGACGGCGCATGGGGCTAATCGCATTGCGAGCAACATGATGTGACTTGAATGGACAATTGATTTTTAAAAGGACCGTTAAGAAAAAAAAACAATTATAATATTTTTTACTGGCAAATGAGGTAGCAATGGTGTAAATGCTTACCCCGAGCTCTCATACTCTGATGGTGCATTGTCTTTGAGTTGTGCGCCTTTTGGCGTCATCTGGTCCAACCCATGTGAGACTAGGCTCTAAGGAAAGCTGTCTCGGGTGTGGACCAAACAACTTCAAGGACAGTGCATACATTATCAGTTATGTTTTTTGTTTGCATTATGACTGCAGGTATTGTGGTCTATGCAAACATGACTCCTCGTAAAAAGGTGTCAGTTTTGTTGCCAGATAAAAGGGTAAAAAAAACAATTATCAGGACCGTTAAGGTTAACAAACAAACAAAACAACCCACCTCCGGCAACATTCTCAACTGCGTGACGACACACGTTTCGTGGACAGCCCTCTGGCCAATTTGTCACCGGATTCAGGATGTGTGGATCGTGGGAGTTATTTGACCAAAACGTTACCGCGCTAGAGCCAGTGCGGGCCGGCGAATGAATGAAGACGCGGCGGCATGGAAGTGTAGAGGAGTAAAATGGGGACGTGACGTCATACGCGCTGTGAGGTGCGATGACGTCATGTCACCTAGGGGTGCTTAAGGGGAGGCCCAGGTTGAAGGGAGCTGGGGAGAGAGCCAGGGGTAGAGCTGAAGAAGCGGCTGTAGTTACGGAAGGTGCTGCTCTCCTCGGCCGGTCGGTGTTGGCTCGAGAGAGCCCCAAGAGACGGCCAGCCGACTAGCAGTAGAGAGAGCCAAGGGTCCAAGAGAAGGACCCAGTGTAGGACATCGACCCCTGGTGGTTACTCACTCCCTTTGTTAATAAACCGGCGCAAGCCCTTACCTGAAGACCTGCCTCAGCGTCGTCTTTTACCACACAACGGAATCGAAAAAATGTCACGAGTAGATCCCAACGCACCACCGCGTACGGGCAGCCAGGAAGTAAACGGAGCTTGCAGGGTTAACAACGGCCAGAGCTTGGGCGGTAAAAAAGCCAGGTTAGAGAGGTGAGTTTTCAAGAAATATCTCTCACTAACGACGAATGTTGCTGCACCGCCATTGCCTACTCACCACGTAGGCCCGCAAGCCACCTACGGCAAGCCGCTATGGGCATGGTGGTTACCTATCCGGGCACAATAAAGGTTTACTCAGATTGTAAATGCCGTGGGGGGTTCACTCACCAACACACCGGTGTGCTGTACTAGCAACGAACTGGCACGTTCCGGTTACGTGACAAACCTCACTAATTGGTTGTGTCGGGTGGCGACGGGTTTAACGACACATTTATGTTTCTCTTCTTCTTGGTTCTTTTGGTAAAGTCACGTAGAAGGGAAATAATAAAATAATAAAAATAAAACATTATAAAATAATTCTCACGACGTTTCGGCCACAACGCAAGCAGCCGTCCTCAGGTGAAAACAGGTCTGTCGGAAAGACAGCATCTGAATGAAACACCACCAGGCTTGGAGCGTATATTTAACATTCATATTTACGCGATCTAAACCAAATAAAACCTCCATTGCGGTGAAACGTATATTCGACCCGCGCTCGGGCGGGCGCGTGACAAGTGTCGCTGTGTGTGTGTCAGAGGTCGCAACCGGGTACCCGATACCCGTACCCTACCCGATACCCGGCTACCCATACCCGGCCGGGTATGGGTAGCCGGGTATCGGGTACGGGTAAGGAATCAAAACCCGTTTGCGACCTCTGGTGTGTGCGTGCGCGTGCGGACATGTGTTTTGCGTCAAGTGGCAGACTGCACCCACCAGAATGCTTGCACTGTGCTCCTTATTGTCGTGGTTTTCAGACTGCGGGTGGGGGGGGGCACACGGGTGAAGAGAGAAAGTGGAAGGAAACGTCATTGGCCGACGCGCCACGCAAACACACGCACGGGGGGGGGACCTCACACGAGAGGGCAATTCACTTGCGCGTTGCACAACAAAGGGGGCACGCTGCCGTGGTGTGTGACAAGGGCTCGGCACGCCGGCGGACTTGCAAGAGAGAGGTCGCCGGGCCGGTGCGATCTCCCGGCGCGGCAGTTGGAACGGTGCAGGTTTCCTAAGTCCCTCCGTCTCTGCGCAGCCGGAAGTATACATGGGTACACCGGCGGTTAGTCCATTGGCAGGTCAGACGTGATGGGAAAAAGGGGTGGGCACACCTACCTCTTACGGGATGTCTGGCCAATGTGGAAGAGTAGGCCGAATACCATGTGGAGGGGGGCTCTCTAGACCTCCCTCGAGTAGTGGTTTGTCCGCCAGGAAGTGACGTGAGCGAGCTTTTGCAGGGCTGCCCCTTTAACTATGTTACTCGCAACATGCTGACGGAGTTGGCAGTAGAAAGGGTTGATGAAGTTTGGTTTCTTATTGCCAAGTGGCAAATGGATCGGGGGGGGGGGGTGGGCGGCAATGCGCTACGGACAATCGCAACAAAGATGGTCACGCGGGGGGGGGGGGGCGAGGGGGTCGGTGGGAACTACATCACAGCATGAGCGTCGGACATTGGTTGCGTTTGGTGCAATCTAAACACGGCACCATCACACGCGGATATCTACTTTACCCGGCTCAATGTCCTCGTGCGTTCACAACGTAGCGAACTGATCAAAAGGATAAACGACTACGGAATCCCGAAATGCACGGCGATTGGCAAGAATGGGTACAAGCTGCGTGTTAACAGTTTAAAAAACAAGAATAAAACTTAATGACCCCATTTCGGAAGACCACGATGAGAACATAATTTGGTGGACCTTGCGGTGAAGCGGTGGCTTTGTACGACGCCGTGGCGTGGGATTTTATACGGGCCAACAGTGCGGCTTGATAGAACTGCACACATTTTTTATTGGCACAATTTTAAACAAACCTGTCAACCCCCCTTATCAGTGCCTACCTTATTAAAGACCAATTTAGACCTTATTGGTCACCCCGTGCCACTTATAAATCTCAACGTTCATCCTACAGTCCCGTCACAAAGGCGAAACACAAACAAAGAGACAAAATTTATGTTACTAAACAAAAACAGTTTTACGCATTAATTTTGATCATGGGTGTCATGCTGTGATCTTGCATGCTGCTGCTGCTTGCTTGATATAAAAGCTGTCCCACGACTTTTTTTATTTGGCCATATGATGTTTTGTTGCTGCCCGTGTTGAAACGGCTGTATGCCGTATGGACCTGAAAACTCAATTTCCCTGGTACAAGACTGCAGCGTAAACCACGTGGGCTGACGGGTATGAAGGCTAAACGGTCACTTTGTGGTGTCGTTGTCGTTGTCCGCTGCTGACAATTATTAATTCCCACGTACATTTGGATAAGCGCGATTTCACTGGTGCACTATTTTATTTTCCCACATTTAGAATAAAAAAATTAACCCGTAAAAACAAAGTTTTTCACTATAAATCCTTTATATGCGTGGCATCGGTTTTATTTTATTATTCATTTCTGTTTTTCTTGAGTAAGAGTTTCATTTTTATCACATTGGAATTTTAAATTAAATATGAAATTTTTTTTTTCTAAAAAGTGGAAAATTTTGGAATTTTTTTGTTCACGAAAATAATTGTCACGCACAACGAGTCTGTGTGCAAAATGTCAGCTCGATTGGATCACGGGAAGTGGGTTAAAAAACGACCGAAAGATTTGCACGGCCGTAAGCGCGCAAGCAAGCAAGTGAACTTAATATAAAAGATTTAAAAAGACCAACGTCTATGTTCAGCCACGTGACGCGTCACGTTTTTTTCTTGTTTTTAAAGTGGATATTTAATCCCAGCCGGCAGTGGCGTAAGATTCTCCGAAATATATAAAAGCCCGCGCTGTGATCTAATCGTCCGGAACGACCCGGGCTAAAATTCAAGAGAGGATTAGAGTGCATTTTGAGCAGCCATGAGATTCATTACAACCCAGGAAGAACCAAAGCAACACATTTCACACACGTGACATACACGGGGTTTTCGATTTTTTTTCGTACAAATAAAAAAAACATTTTCAATTGATAATATTTGGATAATTTTTAAAGGCGCCCCCTGGCGAGAATTTTTTTTCACAAATCTATGTTTTATATAACGAGCTTAATTCGTAACAGATGAGCGCTCCAATGTACGGATGGCCCTTTATAGTTAATCCACTGCTGGATGAATGGCTCGACAAGCCGTGCCACCGCACGGAACAGAGTGTGGGGTTAGCGAGCTCTCTGGCCGGGCAATTGAATCCTAGTGGGGACAAGGGGGGAGGAGGTGTATGATGCAGTGCGCTAACCACTGCGCCACCGCTCCACCTCGGGTACGCACTGGAGGCGAGCGAACACAACAGCGGGAACGCGAGAGCGCGTGCGACCATTGGAACAAAAACGCAATCAACGACGCCGTCTTCTGATTTGTACTGGAGGATTGCGGACAAAAAGAAAAGCTGGCCGCTGATAAACAGCTGCGATGGTTGTGTAACCGAATTGCGACTCGCTCCCCCCCTCTCTAGGAATGGAATGGTGAGTGAGGTGAGCGTGGTGAGCGAGGTGAGTCAGGGTGAGCGAGGTGAGTCAGGGTGAGCGAGGTGAGCGTGGTGAGTGAGGTGAGCGTGGTGAGCGAGGTGAGGCAGGGTGAGCGAGGTGAGCGAGGTGAGCGTGGTGAGCGTGGTGAGCGTGGTGAGCGTGGTGAGCGATGTGAGGCAGGGTGAGCGTGGTGAGCGTGGTGAGCGTGGTGAGCGTGGTGAGCGTGGTGAGCGTGGTGAGCGAGGTGAGCGAGGTGAGCGAGGTGAGGCAGGGTGAGCGTGGTGAGCGTGGTGAGCGTGGTGAGCGAGGTGAGGCAGGGTGAGCGAGGTGAGCGTGGTGAGCGAGGTGAGCGAGGTGAGCGGGGTGAGCGAGGTGAGCGTGGTGAGCGGGGTGAGCGTGGTAAGCGAGGTGAGCGTGGTGAGCGAGGTGAGCGAGGTGAGCGAGGTGAGCGGGGTGAGCGAGGTGAGCGGGGTGAGCGTGGTGAGCGGGGTGAGCGTGGTGAGCGAGGTGAGCGGGGTGAGCGAGGTGAGCGAGGTGAGCGAGGTGAGCGAGGTGAGCGAGGTGAGCGTGGTAAACGAGGTGAGCGTGGTGAGCGTGGTGAGCGGGGTGAGCGTGGTGAGCGTGGTGAGCGAGGTGAGCGTGGTGAGCGTGGTGAGCGTGGTGAGCGAGGTGAGCGTGGTGAGCGGGGTGAGCGTGGTGAGCGAGGTGAGCGAGGTGAGCGAGGTGAGCGAGGTGAGCGTGGTAAACGAGGTGAGCGTGGTGAGCGTGGTGAGCGTGGTGAGCGAGGTGAGCGAGGTGAAGGAAGAGGATCTCGTGATTGTTGAGGCTGAATCAGCAAAGAGAAGCACGGAGCACTGAATGGGTGTCATGATAAGGGGACTCACAATAAAGACAAAGATGCCTCGTATAGCTCCAGCAGACTGTAGGGGCAAGTGCTGTTAGCGAGTAGCACCTATGAAGGCCGGCACGGTACACGAGGGGGAGGTACTCATTTGAGGCCGAGTAGACCTCGGGGAGGGCCCCCAAAGCACACATTCATACACACACACACTTACACACCTACCCACTCACACACACACGCTTACACACCTACCCATACACACACACGCTTACACACCTACCCATACACACACACGCTTACACACCTACCCATACACACACACGCTTACACACCTACCCATACACACACACGCTTACTCACCTAACCATAATACACACACGCTTACAACACCTACCCATACACACACACACTTACACACCTACCCATACACACACACGCTTACACGCCTACCCATACACACACTGCTTACACACCTACCCATACACACACACGCTTACACACCTACCCATACACACACACGCTTACATACCTACCCATACACACACGCGCTTACACACCTACCCATACACACACACACGCTTACACACCTACCCATACACACACACGCTTACACACCTACCCATACACACACACACGCTTACACACCTACCCATTCACACACACGCTTACACACCTACCCATACACACACGCGCTTACACACCTACCCATACACACACACGCTTACACGCCTACCCATACACACACTGCTTACACACCTACCCATACACACACACGCTTACACACCTACCCATACACACACACACGCTTACACACCTACCCATTCACACACACGCTTACACACCTACCCATACACACACGCGCTTACACACCTACCCATACACACACGCGCTTAAACACCTACCCATACACACACACGCTTACACGCCTACCCATACACACACTGCTTACACACCTACCCATACACACACACGCTTACACACCTACCCATACACACACCTACCCATACACACACGCGCTTACACACCTACCCATACACACACACGCTTACACACCTATCCATACACACACACGCTTACACACCTACCCATACACACACACGCTTACACACCTATCCATACACACACACGCTTACACACCTACCCATACACACACACACGCTTACACACCTACCCATAATACACTCACACAACAAAAACACCAGGCATAAGAAAAACAAACATCACCACCCGTGTAGTATTACCCGGCTGCTATGAAAAACACCTTTCAGAGGCTACGCGGCACACACACACACGCTTACACACCTACCCACACACACACCTTTCAGAGGCGACGCGGCACACACACACAGAGACACGTACAGCGCCTTCACAGCCTGTTGGGACAAATTCCGCGGCACGCGCACACACACACGGGGACTCGCGCACAATAACACAAAGACAAAGGTCCCCCGTGTAGCCTGAACAGACTGTTGGGGCAAGTGCTGTTAGCGAGTAGCACCTATGAAGGCCGGCACGGCGCACGAGGGGGTGGGTGGCCAGCACCACGCCCGGCCGCCTTTGTCTCCCCCAGTGGCGATGTTTACACACCGCACCAGGTACTCATTTGAGGCCGAGTCGACCTAGGGGAGACCCAGGAACGGCTCGAATAATCGTCACCGGTGTTGGCCGTGAGCGGGAATCGAACCCGCGTCGCCAGTTTCGTAGCGCAGCGCTAACCACGACACCACCGCTCCCCACAACAGCAACACAAACACACAACGCACTGACACGCACAACAACGTATTCCTGGCAAGGTGGTTGTCAGCGAGCACCTATTAAGGCCGGACGCGGCGCACGAGGTGGTGGTGATGTGGCCGAGCAGCAACGCTCATGGCCTCGGGACCGTTTCAGATTCACAGTGGCTGGGAATGGAACTCAGGTGGCCGGGTTCGTAGCGCGGTGCGCTAACCACTGCCCCACCGCTCCCTAGCACACACTCCGACGCACGCCGAGAAGACGACATGGACAGCGGCACTCCCTTGGCGGCACACCACGCACAGCGGCACACCACGCTCAAACACCGCTGCCATATATCCCAGCGCGCACAGCGAGGGACGCCTCCATCCATCATTCAACACCGACCCACGTTCGGCCTACACGTCTACCCGGCCGAGTAGCGCCATTCTCGGCAGGGCTGCTAGGCAAGGGAGGTAACCCCGAGGCGGGCCGGTCGCATGCGAAGAGCGCAGCGTGTGGCGCCCGGGAATCTCGGGGGAACGCGGCCCGAGTCGCGGCGGAGAGGGTGGGCCGCGAGAGACGCGCCCCGCCGGGTAGAGCTTCTCCCCAACTCACGTTGTTGGCCATCGCGAACGAGCGAAGCGCCGCTCCGGATCCCGCACAAATCGGCAACGCGAAAAAAAATGGGACGTCAGCGCGCGCGTGACGTCAGCGCGTTCGTACGCGCTGACGTCACCACGCAGCCGCCGCCGAGCAATGGCAGAGCGCCCGGGCTCGGCGTAGGTGGGGGGGGGCACGGGGCTGAACGGCGTGCGTCGTGGTGACGTCATGACGCACAGCCGCAACGCGCCGTGGGAGGGGGTTGTGGTTGCGGTGTGTGTGTGTACGTGCCTGTGTGTGTGTACGTGTGTGTGTGTGTACGTGTGTGTGTTTAAGACTGTGACTCATGCAGCTGCAATGGCTGCTTTGGGTACGCGGTCCAGACCTCCCCAGAAACCCTGGCTGACAGAGGAGGTGTTCAGGTTAATTGAGAAAAAGCGACAGGCCCACTCTCATCGCCTACAGCATCCCACGTCAGAGAATGAGGAGGTTTACCGCAGCCTTCGCTCGGAAGTTCGGAGAGCCGTAAGGCGCTGTAAGGATGGGTGGTGGTCGCGGGTTGCTGAGGAGATGGAGTCTGCCTCAGTGGCCCGTGATCACAAATCACTATTTAACTCCATCAAAAAAGTAACCTGCAGCGCCACACCTATTACCATCATTAGAGGAAAAAACGGTGATCCAATCTCTGACCCCCAGGAACAGGTTTGCAGATTTTCTGAGCATTTCTGTGAGGTCCTGGGGGAGGGAAATTCTCTCAGCCAGGAAAACATCATGGCACAAAGTGGGGATAACCCTGCTGAGGCTGCGGTGCCTCAAATATTGGAAGAGGTCACCCCCTGTGAGTGGCTGGCTGAGGTGCCATCTGTAGAGGAAGTACTGAGGGCGATCCGGAGTCTGAGACCAGGGAAGGCACCGGGCAGAGATGATCTCCCAAGCGAAATGCTGAGGGAGGGTGGCGTTTGTGCACAGACTGCCCTATATGACATCATAACAACAGTCTGGACCACTGGACGGGTTCCGCAGGACTGGAAGGATGCCCTGGTGGTCCCCCTCTTTAAGAAGGGGGACCGCACAGACTGTAACAACTACAGGGGCATCTCACTCCTCAGTGTGCCGGGTAAGGTCCTGGCAAGGATTATTCAACATCGCCTTGCTAGGCACGCTGAGGAGGGGCTTGCGGAGCCCCAATGCGGTTTCAGGAAAGGGCGGTCCTGCACAGATGCCATATTTTCTGTCCGTCTGCTACAGCAGAGGTGTAGGGAATTCCAAAAAGACCTACATCTCTGCTTTATTGACCTGGTCAAGGCCTATGATACCATCAGTAGGACTGGACTCTGGGTTGTTCTTCGTGCTTTCGGAGTCCCTGACCCTCTGCTCACGATCATTAAGGACCTTCATGATGGTGAGCGGGCCCGGGTAAAACTACGTGGCCGGGAGTCGGAGCCTTTCCCTGTACACCTTGGGGTGCGACAGGGATGTCCTCTGGCTCCCACATTATTTAACATCTATTTTGACCGCGTAGTTCGTGAAGCCTTCAATAGCTGTACCGGGGGAATTTCCGTTTGGTACAGATATAATGGGAGGCTGATCGACGCCCGGGTGCGATCAAGGGATGGCTCCCTATTGGTCAACCACGTTATGTATGCCGATGATTTGGTAATAGCTGCTCATTCAGAAGAGGAGTTGGAGGCGCTGCTGCTGAGACTGGAGCGTGCCACTAAGAGGTGGGGCCTTACCATCAGCCCCACCAAAACCAAGCACCTGCCTGGGTATTTTGTACCATCGGACACTCCACCCCCACAACTCCCAATTGGTGATGGGGCAGTTGTGGAGAGAGTGGAGAGTTTCCCATACCTGGGCAGTATGCTTATGACCGGCTCCAGTCTATCAGCAGAGGTCTCACTCCGAATCAGTCGAGCGGCAATATCTTTTCATCGGTTGCGTAACGCTGTGTGGAAGCTACCTGGTCTGTCGCTCCGCACGAAGCTTCAGGTCTTCTCGGCCACGGTCATTCCCTCCCTTCTCTACGCTTGCGAGACGTGGACCCCCCTGGTGGAGCATCTTCGCCGGTTGGAAACATTTAGGCTGGCCTGCCTACGATCCATCCTGGGTTTAACCAGGCTGGATTGTGTGAGGAGCTCACAAATCCTTGAAAGATCTGGGCAAAGTCCCATCAGTGAGCTCCTCCGGCAGGCAAGGCTGCGTTGGCTGGGTCATGTAGCCCGCATGCCCAGCCACCGCATGCCTAAACAGCTTTTGTTCGGCCGGATCGAGGGGGCTAGACGGGCGCGGCACGGGCTGGAGAAGGGATGGAGTGATGTGGTACAGGAGGACGTGGAGCTGAGTGGACTTGCCGATGACTGGTACCAGCGGTGCCAAGATCGGCCTCAGTGGAGGAGGCTCGTGAAGGACGCTACTGGGCAGTTGGAGGCAGTCGCCCTCCAACAACAACGGAGGGCGGAGGAGCGACGCTCACAACAACGAGCGGAGCGCCGGGTGGCTAAAGCACAGCAAGTTGGCACAGTAGGGGGCACAGGTGGTGCATCAGCCAGTCATCTCGGTCATCTCGGTCAGTCGACCCGTGGCACCTGCTGGGTCTGCCCCGTGACCTCCTGCCAGCGGGCTTTCGACACTTCACGTGGCCTCAAGGTGCACTTGGCCTGGCACAAGCATCGTGGTGACGTCACCGCCACTTAGTGGCGAATGGCGGTTGTTGTTGTGTATATAATAAGAAACGGTAGTTTAGGGGTTAGAGCGCTGCGTAACGAACCTGGTCACCCTGGTTCGATTCCCGGCTAACGGCCAACATCGGTGACGATTATCTGAACCGGTCCTGGGCCTCCCCTAGGTCGACTCAGCCTCAAATGAGTTACCTGGTGCGGTGTGTAAACATCGTCACTAGGGAGACAAAGGCGGCCGGGCGTGGTGTTGGCCACCCACTCCCTCGCGTGCCGTGCCGGCCTTCATAGGTGCTCGCTAACAGCCCTTGCCCCAACAGTATGTACAGGCTATACGGGGGATCTTTATCTTTGTGTGTGTATGTATATGTCCCTGGGTATTTTGTGCCACTGAACACTTCAACCCTCTCAGCTCCCCCATTGGTGATGGAGCGGTTGTAGAGAGAGTGGAGAGTTTCTCCATACTTGTCTGTTGATGACCTGCTCCGGTTTGACAGCAGAGGTCTCGCTCAAAATCAGTCGACCGGCATTATCTTTTCATCGGCTGCGTAACGCTGTGTGGAAGCTACCTGGTCTGTCGCTCCGCACGAAGCTTCAGGTTTTCTCGGCCACGGTCATGCCCTTCTTTCTCTACGCTTGCGAAACGTGGACCCCCCTAATGGAGCATCTTCGCCGGTTATAAACATTCAGGCCGGCATTCCTACGATACATACTGGGTTTAACCTGCAGGCTGGATTGTGTGAGGAGCTCACAAATCCTTGAAAGATCTGGACACATTCCCATCGGTGAGCTCCTCCGGCAAGCGAGGCTGCCTTGGCTGGGTCATGTAGCCCGCATGCCCAGCCACCGCATGCCCAGGTAGCTTCAGTTTGATAGAGGGGGCTAAACGAGCAATACACAGGCGAGAGAAGACATGCAGCTGATGTGGTACGGGAGGATGTGGAGCAGACGACTGGTACCAGCGGTGTCAAGATCGGCTTCTATGAAGGAGGCTCGTGAAGGATGCTGCTACTGGGCAGTTAGAGGCAGTCGCCCTCCAGCAATAGAGGGGCAGAGGAGCGACGCTCACAACAACGAGCGGAGCGCCGGGCGGATAAAATACAGCAAGTTGCCACAGAAGAGGGTACAGGTGGTGCATCTGCAGGTCATCTCAGTCAGCCGACCCATGGTATCTGCTGGGTCTGTCCCGAGACCTCCTGCTAGCAGCGAGCCTTCGACACTTCGCGTGCCCTCAACGTGCACTTAGCCTGGCACAGGCGCTGTGGTGGCGTCACCGTCACTGAGTGGCGAATGGCGCGTATCGATATTGGTAGCGGTGAGTTCGATTCCCGCTCAAGGCCAACATGGGTGACGAATATCCGAACCGGTCCTGAGGTCTCCCCTAGGTCGACTCGACCTCAAATGAATACCTGGTGCGGTGTGGTAAACATCCCCACTGGGGAGACAAAGGCGGCCGGGCGTGGTGTTGGTCACCCACCACCTCGTGCGCCGTGCCGGGCTTCATAGGTGCTCGCTAACAGCACTTGCCCCTACAGTCTGTTAAAGGCTACACGAGGGATCTTTGTAATTTTTTTGTGCGTGCTTTTTTATACCGGGGTTGTTAAACGATAACTGCTAAACCGGTAACCGTTTTCGGAATCGATAACCAGTTGCAAAAGGCCAGGAGACAATAATCGACTTCAAACGGAATTGGGTTTTTCTTTTTTCACGCGATTACCGGTAAATGCTAAAACAACGAATGTAATCATCGTAACGTGTGCACACACTATCTGTGTGTGTGCATATACAAACATACAGTGAGGGAAAAAAGTATTTGATCCCCTGCTGATTTTGTACGTTTGCCCACTGACAAAGAAATGATCAGTCTATAATTTTAATGGTAGGTTTATTTGAACAGTGAGAGACAGAATAACAACAAAATCCAGAAAAACGCATGTCAATTTTTTTATAAATTGATTTGCATTTTAATGAGGGAAATAAGTATTTGACGCCTCTGCAAAACATGACTTAGAACTTGGTGGCAAAACACTTGTTGGCAATCACAGAGGTCAGATGTTTCTTGTAGTTGGCCACCAGGTTTGCACACATCTCAGGTAGGATTTTGTCTCACTCCTCTTTGCAGATTTTCTCCAAGGCATTAAGGTTTCGAGGCTGACGTTTGGCAACTCGAACCTTCAGCTCCCTCCACAGATTTTCTATGGGATTAAGCTCTGGAGACTGGCTAGGCCACTCCAGGACCTTAATGTGCTTCTTCTTGAGCCACTCCTTTGTTGCCTTGGCCGTGTGTTTTGGGTCAGTGTCATGCTGGAATACCCATCCACGACCCATTTTCAATGGCCTGGCTGAGGGAAGGAGGTTCTCACCCAAGATTTGAC